TAAGGTCTGCCTTTATCTAATTTACAATTTGATTAAAGAAAAAATCCCTTAGTTTGTTTTATTCTGGAAAACTTCATGTTTTACACTTGTATTTTATATGCACAACTCCTGCACCTTCATCACTCTGAAACTATGAACAGCTTCATTATTGGTCTTACTGCCAAAAATGTTCCATCACATCAGCTGGGGCTGAGAACACCTTGACTGGGGCGCGCTTGGTGACCTTCTGCTCCTGTACCAGTTGCTGGATGTCCAGTGTGATCTGTTGGGTGTGTTTGACTCCCACCTTCACCGCAAGACAGAAGTCCTGCTGCAGCATCTTCTCAGCTGATGCCTCAATCATCACTGACAGAGTCACACGATAGACAAGTGTTGTATTATGCTATCATCAGACAGAGTGAAGAAAAGCCAATTACTGTTGTGTGTTCTTCACCTATGGGTCCGTTCCAGGGAATGTCAGACAGGGCCAGAGCCGCAGAAGCTTTAATGAAAGAAAATACTGTTTTAGCTAAATCTAAACTATGTTCTGTAGAATACATGGATGCCTGAGATTTCACTGCATCAATAGCCAGCACATCTGGATCACTGACACCATCAACTGCTAACAGGTTACACAGGATCTGCAGGAGGCATGAACATACATGTGAAATACTAATATTTCTCAGACAATTCTCTGTTGCACCACTGGTTGTGAAACAGGTACTGCACAGTATTCTAGCAGCCTTCACAGTGTTTTAAACCTCTGCCAGATCTGAGAAAACTTGATTCCTGTTGTGAAAACCGAAAATTTCACAGTTTTCTCTTCATGTAATCAGACTACTGTATGTACACTTGTCAGATTTTCACTATATCACCACAAAGACTCCAGATGGATTTGTGAAAACAACAAAAAGAGTGAGTTTACAGCTTTTTCTTCATTTAGACATGTCAGACCTGGACTATGTTGACAACAAGACTCCACAGACAAGTTAAAACATCAGATCTGTGAAAGTGTAACTATGTTTATGAAAACAAAAACAGCTATTTCACTGGTTAGGAGTCAAGGTAATAATCCTGTTCATCCATCCAACGGTGCTCAAGGGAAAAAGGATTCCAAAATGTCACAAAAATGTAAGACTCCAATGCAAACCATGTCTAGATATAATAAAGAAGATATAATAAATACAGATATAGACATAATAAAGAAGATTTCATATCTAGACATCCCTGGTGTGTGTTGGAATCTTATATTGTTGAGCTATTTCACTGGTTTTTCTCCATCCAAACCAGGTATAGATTCAAGCATGCATGTTAATCTAGTCCGTATCTGATAAATCCACATACAGTGGTCTGAGTATGCTCTCATTTCTGCCTTATTACCTGATTTTTGAAAATGAAAATTTACACAGATATTTAAGCCCATGCTGCCACTTGAAGCTTCCCATTGCATAGAGCTTCCCTGTGCACCTCTTACAGAATGTATAAAAAACACTGAATCCACTTCTTGAAAATGAAATGCACTCTGTTTAGGGCTGTACTCACCTCACTCCCCTGACCCAGCATGTGCATATGCTCCAGGCAGTGTTGGGTCAAGTTGCAGAGGGTTCCCTCAGCCAGCAGCAGGTTCTCGTGGGGCTCACAAATCAGTGTGAAGCCCAGACTCTGGACTCCAAGCCACAGAGTGCTCATCTCCTCAGAGAAGGGGCCTCCAGCTCTCAGACGCACCACACCGCTGTCAGCCTCCTGCAGGGCCAGAGCCTCCTCACCTGGCACCACCTCTACCGGCCGGAGACCTCCCGGGACAGAGACACAGTGCTATGGACCTGCCTAAAGAAAGACATGGACA